TTTCGTATTGGTAGTAGGTGTGCAACCCACATAAATTATAGTAAGTTTGGGAAATTACTGTATTGACACTATAGGTGTAAACTATAAAGAGTATAATGAATTGAAAGAGTTAATTGATATTATGAATAATTATTATAGTAGAAACTGTTCTAAAATACAAGATTTAAGGCCTATCTGTGCATTTGATAGAAAGGTGTCAATCATGCCAGTTAGATGAAAGGCTAAGTGCCTTTGAGGCCTAACTGTGCATTTGACAGAAATGTGAAAATCATGCCAGTTAGATGAAAGGCTAAGTGCCTTTGAGGCCTAGCTGTGTATTTGGCATAAATGTGTCAATTATGTCAGTTAGATGAACAATTAAATACCGTTGAGTAAGAGATTAATAGCCTAGTTGTGCATTTGACAGAAATGTGTCAATTATGCCAGTTATATGAAATGTTAAATACCTTTGAGTAAAACATTAATAGCCTAGCTGTGGATTTGGCAGAAAGGTGTCAATCATGCAAGTTATATGAAAGGCTAAATGTCTTTGGGTAAAAGACTAAAGGAAATAAAAATGCATTTTTGATATAAACAACGCGTAAGTGGTATGACAAGATGTTGTATATATAATGTGCATCAATGTTTAATTGGTATGAATGGATGTTATAAAGGAAAACGTAAACATTACATAATGGGCATGAAAGGATGCCCAAATGAAAATAGAAAATGGTGTATTACTAGTATTTAAGATGCCACCCATGATGGTTATAAAAGATACATGATCAATTGGCACTTTGGTGCAATACGTGTATAATACTTTCTAATTTAACGTACCCTATGCAAATAAAGAATAATTGGGAAAAATATATAGAAGGATATATAGGTTGGGCCTATTAAGAATAATTTAGATGACTTTATAGAAAAAATATGGTGTAATTGAGAAGGGCTTATCTAGTCCTTATGGATTTTTGCAATTTAAATTGTCATTTAGTATTCATAAGATATTTATGTATAAAGTTTGATATCTTTGCAGTATTATGTCTCACTAAGTAAATACTTAACGTGTGTTGATTTCATGTGTAGGTAAAGGCAAAGATTAGTTGCGTAATGAGTGCAGCCGTAGCAGCAACGATCATTAATTAAGGTTGACCCATCAGTAACATTAGGACAATCTTATTCCTTTGAAAAATTAGTTGGCATGTAATGGAACTAAATTAAATATTTTGTAATGTATTTAAATTGATAGTTTTAGTATTTTGCTTCAATGAATATCATACTCTGAGGGTGTTAAAAATTGAAACAAGATTTTATGGGGTTTTCAAATAAAAAAAATGTTTTAAAAGTGATGTGACATTCGTATCTCATGTACGAAAAGGTATACGGGAGATGGGTGTTACAATATTTGTCACCTACTGTCTCTGAATAATGGTTGCCTAATCCACCATTACGAAGGAAGTTGAGGGGTCCTCCCGAATCTAGTCGAATTCATACTAATATGGATGACCTTCAAAGAGAGCAAGGTCTGCCAAAGCTATCAAGGCAAAAGCCACAATAAGAAGCACTGTCCACATCTCCTAAGATATCGAGCAGGCCGATAATCCTTATGTTGATCAAGAATATATTTTATTAAAGCTTTATTAGACGCTCAAGTTACAGTTGGGAACAATTTAAAATTTTAAAGATCAACCATTTAAAATTCCATCATGTCATATTTAAAATTACACCTAATATATTATTACTAAAAAATTTTATGACTTGAATTTAATACATATTTAAGATGTTTTGGGAGGTCATTTTCGTCCCTGTAGTACCTGATTTAAAATAATTAATTAATATATCAAATATTGATGGTTGTATTAAAAAAATAAATATATTTTTACAATTAGAGATTTAATAAAAACCTATATTTAACCCTTATAATTAATTAAAAACGAAAAGTTATAACATCTTGATTTCTCTATTAAAATTTGAACGTTTTATTATTTAAAATATCTTATTAAAAAATTTAGGAAAATATATTTTTAAAATTTTCTCTAAACACTTTTATTATTAAATTTAATTATTTAAAATAATTAACTTTGACCATCATAATTAAAATCTCTACAAAAATAGAAATCACCAAGTGATGATTTAAAATTTTGACATATGAACTATTTGAAACTCCTATCATGTGTTATATCATATATTTTTTGAAGGTCGTTATATAATATATTTAATTTTATAAGATTATAGTTTGGGAATGCTTCAAATAATGAAAACCTAATTTTTTATACTATAAGCAATACTAAATGCTAAAAAGTATATTTAAAATCATGGTTAAAATTGATTTTAACCAAGCCTCAAAAGTTTAAATTTTTTGTTTTGCTGTGAAAAATCCTTTTGGGTTGAAATTATATATTTATCATTAATTATTTAATTTTAATTTATTTTAAACTAATATAAATACATGTATAATTATTTATTAAATTAATTTTCAAATTTATTGTTAGATATATATTGATATGATTTTAAAGATTTCTTTTACCTTAAGTACATATATTATTTTTTTGTCAAAACTTGAATCTAAATTATTATTTCGTAATAATTTTAAGTTCACATGTTAAAAATTATTAATTACATATATTTTTACAAAATATTATACATATAAATATTAATAATGAGTTATCATAAAAGATTTTTTTATATTTTAAATTGATATATTTCAAATATCATATTATTAATAAGTATAAATATAATTCAAATATTATATTTTTAATTTTACACTACACTTTTTAAAAACACTTTTAGATGTACTTTTTTTTACCGTTTCTTTTCAATCATTTTTCCAGAGTAATAACAAACATATAAGATTGAATTTTCAAAAATTGCATTAAAAAATTTCCAGAAGTTAATTATATAAAATCATTTTATTTTGATAAAGATAGTTCATGTTCTTCATTGAATTATTATATATTTACCACTATATAACTTTCTTTATATTTTTAAAATTATGATTAAAATTTTAAAAGTAAGAAGTTTAAAAGTTAATCAAATTAAAAATAAAAATTGAATCTATAATTTATACATAAAATTTGACCTAATTTCTTTTAATATTTATGATGACTAACACTATTATAAATAAACGGTCATCTTAATACTCTTCTTGTATTTATCAATATGTGTCGTAAAAGAAAGGATAAACTACATTATAGGTCATTGAACTATGTTCAAATGATTATTTTAGCTATTAAACTTTTAAAAATGATTATTAAATTTATCCAACTATTATAAAATGATAATAAAATTTTCTCAAACTAATACAAAAATATTCATTATTTTTATTAATTATAATGTCATGATGACCATTTTATAACCATAAAAAACATAATAATTATTTTATAACTGTTAAAAGTTTTTTTTAACTAAAATGGTTATTTTAATTTAGTTCAGTGACATCTAGTATAATTTATTCTCTCTCTCTCTCTCTCTCTCTATATATATATATATATATATAGGAAAACTCCATATCGCACGTCGCATATCGTAACAAACAATTAAAGAGGCATACCAAAATGTACCACTAGCTAAATTGTTCTTATTAAGTAAATATTAAAAGGATATATTACATGTTTTGTACCTAAATTATCACTTTTTTTTTACTAGATATATTACATGTTTTGTACCTAAATTATCACTTTTTTTTTTACTTTTAGTATTTAAGCTTTAATATTTTTTAAATCATTGACAATAATACTTATGTGGCATGCCATGTCAATTTTTAAATTTTTTAATTACCGCATCTCCTTTCTTTATTTGTAAGGTTTTTTAATTAATTTTATTCAACCAATTAGGTGGTGACATGTCACCACCTATGGGATAAAAAGATAAAAATCATTCTTGTTCCTAATATAAATTGATTTTGAGTATATTACATAAGAAACAAATCACTCAATCATTGAGCTAAACTAGTCATTTAGGTAAATTTCACCACATTTTTTATTTAACTTATATAACAATATCACTACAAAATCAATATTTTTCGATGATTATAAGATTCAAATATGAGACACTTTAAATTAATCACCGAAAGATTAGTCACTATACTGAACTTAATACTTATTAAATTAGTAGCTAATTTTTCACTTTATTTAGAAATAAAAAAATAATTTATATTTTTTATATAAATTATATGAATTAATTATAAAAAATTATATTTAAAAAATAAATAAATATTTTCATAATATTTTAAATAAACATTTTAGAATAATTTAATATAAAATTTATAAATACATAAAAGTATTTATTTAATTAGCTTTTATTCCAAATAAAGTGAAAAATTATTCTTTAACTTAATAATGATACAAGTATTAAGTTTGATATAATAAAAATAGATTCACTGTATATTTGAATGACTAAACTTTTGATCATTAATTTAAAATTTCGTATATACAAATTTTATAATCATAGGAAAATATTGATTTTGTGGTGATATTATTATATAAGTTAAATACAAAATATTTTAAAATTAATATAAATGACTAGTTTAATTCAATGGTTGAGTACTTTGCATTTATTATAAGAGGCCTAGGTTCAAATCATGTTGATATCATGAATATTTTATTTTAGGGTAAACTACACGGGAGACCACCAAACTATGGTCAATAATCAATCTTACCACCGAACTTTTTTTTGTCTTAATCAGACCACCAAAATTTTAATTGATTCAATCAGACCACTCTCCGTTAAAAAAATAATGGCGCGTCCGACGTGGCTGCTCAATGAGCGTATTGTTTCCAGGTTGGACATGCACCACACCACATCAATTAAAACATAAGAAAAAAAAATAAATGACACTCAAAGAGTGAAGGAAGAAGAAGAGATAATTTCAAGCACGTATTTCCATCTTCTCCGCAACCTTTTCTCCTTATATTTCAAGCCCTAATCGACGTTTCAGCCTCACAACACAAATCCAACGTTTTCAGATGGGGAAATAGTCAATAGATTTTGATATGATTAGTTTATTTTGGATTCAATGATTTTGTCTTCAATATGGGTATATAAACTGCTTAGAAAGAAAAGAAAGAGAGAGAAGAAGATGAAGACTGTGAACGACAGTAGTAACAATGGCAACAATAATAATTGGCTGGCTTTCTCTCTTTCACCTCACATAAAAATAGAGGTACCTACTGATCCCCAACACCGTCATAATCACTACCATCAATATAGTCAAGCTTCACTAGCTACTGCTAAGGTTGTTCCTACAAGCTTCTACTTGACTTCTTACTTAAACGGGTCTGGAATCTGCTATGGAGTTGGAGAACCTGAAAGCTTTCACGCTCCATTTTCTGTTATGCCACTTAAATCAGATGGCTCTCTATGCATCATGGTAGCTCTTAGTAGATCACAATCGGAAGGTATCTTCGTTTTCTTTTTTTGCATGCTTATCTTATTTGCTTTTTCCTTACGTTAAACTTATACTCTCATTTTTTTGTTGTTGAAGGGATTATGCCCACTTCTTCCCCAAAACTAGAGGACTTTCTAGGTGGTGAAACAATAAATACACATCAATATGGAACCCACGAAAGGGAGATAATGGCTCTAAGTTTAGATAGCAGGTGTACTACCACCAAAAGGGAGATGACATCATAACAGGAAGAGGAAAACACGGTGAAGAGAGGGCGAGAGAGCCTAATTATACCATAGGGAAATTCGAAGTGAGCGGTGGGTCTGGAAAATAGATCAAAGGTTCTTCAATGGAGTCTCAGGGCTTCAAATATGAGAAGATCGGTGGAAATAGACAAGAGAGAGGTGCTTCAATGGAGTACAAGGCCAAACGTGAGCAGAGTGCATGTGCTTCAATGGAGTCTATGGGCCAACGTGAGAGCGATAAAGAGACAAGACATAGCATGGAAACGGTCGACGAACTGAGGAACATCGATAAAGAAGAGGGTGGTGAGAAATGAGAGCAGCTATCTCTAGAAGATATATCTAAGCTAATAGGAACAACTCAACATAATTTGATGGAGACTTTACGCGCTGCTGAAGAACGGTATAACAAGGCCAAGGAATCGGTCGCCCAATCGCTTAACACCGCAGCCGAGTACACCAAAGATAACAGTCAATAAGAAAGGGAAACCACTCGTCAAGAAGCGCAGTATGCGGCGGAGAAGGGTGGACAAGTGACAGACCCTATTTGTCAAGCTGCTCAGCAGGCAGCGGAGATGGGTGGACAAACGAAGGACACGATCGTCAAAGGTGGCGGCGAGGATGGTGGAAGGAACCTAATGGCTTTTGTGTGAAAAAACCCATGTGTCTTCTCAGCTGGCATTAATAATAATATAAAAACATCACCGTTAGTTTATAACAACCACGTCGAACGCGCCGTTATTTTTTTAATGGAGAGTGGTTTGATTAAATCAATTAAAAAGTTTGGTGGTCTGATTGAGACAAAAAAAGTTTGGTGGTAAGATTGATTATTGACCATAGTTTGGTGGTCTCTCGTGTAGTTTACCCTTTATTTTATTTTATTTTATTTTATCCCTATAGTTGTGACACGTATCACCATTTAATTGGTTGAATAAAATTAATTTAAAATAATTATGAATAAATAGAAAATAATGTGGAAATTAAAAAAATAAAAATTATTAGGTCACGCAACATCATCAATATCATTAATGATTTTGGAAAAAAATTAAAGTTTAGGTACTAAAACGAAATCAAAATAATAATGTAGGTACTAAATGTGGCATGTACACAAATCCTCTCTCTCTTTCCCCTATATGTATACACACACATACAACCTCCAGGAAAAATTAAGTCAAATATTTAGATAAATTATAAAATTGATCAATTTTATATTTTTTTTATGTTTGCTCACAAAATAAAAAATATATAGTTTTATCAGTTATGCTATCGATTTATTAAATATTAGTCATTTATGCTAGGACAGACTGCTCGAATGACCACCATTTTCAAAATTGCGTCAATATGAGCACTTAACTATTTAATTGGTTTCATTCAAGACACATGCCGTTAATATTTAATGGAGGTGCTGACGTGTCAGCTAACATAATTAGTATAATTACAAATTTGATCCTCAATATTTTTACATTTAATTAATTTGGTCCTAATTTCAACTTAATTTAATAAATTAAATTTATTTTCAATCTCTCTCTATATGTATGTATATATATATATATATATTGATTCGACCTCTAGGAAAAATTAAGTCTAATATTTAGATAAATTATCAAATTGATCAAATTTATATTTTTATGTTTGCTCACAAAATAAAAAAAATACATTTTTATCAGTTATGCTATTGATTTATTAAATATTAGTCATTTATGTTAGGGCAGACTACTTGAATGACCACCATTTTCAAAATTGCGTTAATATGAGCACTTAACTATTTAATTGGTTTCATTCAAGAAACATGTCGTTAATATTTAATGGAGGTGCTGACGTGTCAGCTAAAATAATTAGTATAATTACAAATTTGATCCTCAATATTTTTACATTTAATCAATTTGATCCTAATTTCAACTTAATTTAATAAATTAAATTTATTTTCAATCTCTCTCTCTATGTATATGTGTATATATATATATATATATATATTGATTCGACCTCTAGGAAAAATTAAGTCTAATATTTAGATAAATTATCAAATTGATAAATTTTATATTTTTATGTTTGCTCAGAAAAAAATACATTTTTATCAGTTATGCTATTGATTTATTAAATATTAGCCATTTATGTTAGGACGGACTACTTGAATGACCACCATTTTCAAAATTGCATCAATATGATCACTTAACTATTTAATTAGTTTCATTCAAGACATATGCCGCTAATATTTAATGGAGGTGCTGATGTGTCATTTAACAAAATTGGTATAATTACACATTTGATCTTCAATATTTTTACATTTAATCAATTTGGTTCTAATTTTAACTTAATTTAATAAATTAGAGATGAATTTTACTTGTGGAGGATTGCACCCAGGTCTTTATGCTTTGAATGCAAGGCCTAAACTACTGAACCAAGTGCTTCAATTAGTCTAATATTTACAACATTTTTTTATCTCATAATATTGTTAATGATAGAAAAACAAAAATAAAATCATTCAAATGAGATTTCGAATCTAGATAAATTATAAAATATAAGAGAAGTTAAACTAGTTAAAAAATATAATATTATTTGATAATTAAATATATTATATATATTTTAAACTGTATTTATTGCGAAATTCAAAATAAATAATAAATTTAATATTTTATATCTTTAAAATAAATTTCATATTTTTTATAATTCCATATTTAATTTTAAAAATACAAAAATACAAATATTATACATACTTCTAATTTTAAATCTTAAATTAATTATAGATTAAATACAATTTAAAATATTATAATATATTTAAATTATAAAATCTGAATCTTAATCCGGCCATAGTTTATAAAATATATAAAAAATTAAATATAATAATTATTTTTTTCTCAAACTTATTTTTATCATTTCATATTTTTTGTTTAAAAATAAATATGAAAATGTTGAATTTATCATAAAAATGTTAAATTTATTTTTAATTTTAAACTTTACATAAACACGGTTTAAAATATAATGTATTTAATTGTAAATATGAATCTTAGATTCTATTATATTTTATAATTGTTCTAGGTTCGAAACTTCATTTGAACGATTTATTTTTTTAATTTTTCTATCATTAACAATATTAAAAGATAAATAAAATTTGTTGTAATTATTAGAACAATTGAAGGACTTTGTTCATGCATAAACGCATGGGTTTAATCCTCCCCAAGTGCAATTCAACTTTGATTTATTTTCAACTCAATCAAGGGTGACAGATGTCATGATTTGATTGGATTGAAAATAAAAATTTAATTAATTAAATTAAATTAAATAAAATCCTCCATTCTGATGATTACATTTGTCAATCGTGACATAGTTTACGATCGTAAGGTGACACGTGGTACCACCTGATTGAATGGTTTTTAATTTATTAAATTAAATTAAAATTAGGACCAAATTGATTAAATGTAAAAATATTGAGGATCAAATGTATAATTACACTAATATGTTAGCTGATACTTCATCACCTCCGTTAAATATTAACAACACTTGGCTAGAATAATACCAATTAAATAGTTAAGTGGTCATATTTAGGTAATTTCAAAAATGATGGTAATTTTTTACACCAACCCTCTAGTTAGTTGGTTATTCAAGTACTTTATCCTTTATGTTATCGATTATTACATTTTTATTATTGAGTCGTTAACTTCTGTTAGTTTGATGATGTGGCACGTTAGTAAAACAAGTTAAATTTTAATTTGACCCCTAAATTTTAGAGATAAAAATACTAATTTAACCCTTGAACTATTATGTTTGTGGCTTGTAATATTACAAGACTACAATTTAACAAGACCAAATGTTGGTCAAAATTGACATGTATCAAAGTTCAACTTTCCTGCTACCAAATATTAAAAGATAACAACCACTTTAAGTTAAAGATGGATGCAAAATTAAATGCATTAAAAGTTCAAGTTGAAAAGTTGACAAGTAGTTCAAAAATGATGAGAAAATCACCCGTTAAGTCCTTGAATTATTAGGTTATTTATAAGTTTAGTCCCTGAAGCTCAACAATAAATAGGCCAAATCATCTACATTTGAAATTATCCTAAAAAATCATCTCTCCCATTTTTTTTTTCCCAATTTCCCCACTTTGTAATATTTTACGATTTCCAAGGGATTCTAGTTGTTGAATTTTTTTATTGATAATAAAGTTATCATCTGTTGGTAGTGCCCCAGGATTAGAAGATATTTCATTCAACGTCGTAAATTCGGTATGCTCTCTTCATTATTTATTTTGTATGTTCATTATTGGGTTTTTTTCTTTGTGTTTCAATATTCAATAGTTTAATGGGTTTTCCCACTGTGCAATTTTGATAGTTTTGTTCTTAACATTTCAGTTCAATTTTGAAAATATGTTCATGTGGGAAATAAATCGATTTCTATAATAATTGGTATTATAGCTTTAGTTGAGTTTATCTCAGTGGTTCCGTTGCTAAAATAATCTAGTTTGTGCTATTGAATATTGTTTGTTACCATTGAAATGACAAAATAAGAATTAGTTAAGACATTAATCTCTTTATCCAAATTGATAAGGAGGGTGATGCCAAATGCAAACTTCTCTGTGGATTTGTTCAATGGTTCCAATTATTTTGGCATGTGGCAAGGCAAAGTGTTAGACACTTTATTACAAAAAAGGTTTAGACATCACGATTGAAGAAAAAAACCTACGGGTATGGAGGAGAAAACATGTGAAATAATCAATTGTTTAACGTTCATCACGATTTGATCTTATCCGTTTAGAGAGCATAAGTATGGCTACAAGAATGAGACTTATACAAGTAAATTGTGGAAATCATTGGAGGAAATACTCTTAAAGAAAAGATCTCAAAATCTTCTCTACATGAAGAAAATATAGTTTAGATTTGATTATCAACTAGAGATCAGTATGAATGAACACATAACTGCCTTAAAAGAGCTAGTATCATATTTATTGGGCATGGAAGAAACCTTCAAAGATGAAGATTTGGCTTTATTGTTGTTGTCATCTCTTCCAG